GTCTCCAAGGATGGAGATACCACCACCTCTCCGGGTAACCTGTCCCAGTGTATTACTACCCTCCTAGTGAGAAAGTTTTGCCTAATATCTAATCTCAGCTTCCCTTGCTGCAACTTGAGCCCATTGCTCCTTCTGTCATCTGCCCCCACTGAGAACAGTCCAGCTCCATCCACCTCCCTGCAGGGGGTTGCAAAGAGAAGGCTGCTATTCAATCCCCCCTCAGTCTTCTCTTCTCCACACTAAAGCAGCCCAGCTTTGCTCAGATATTGCAAGGCTGGCCACCCCTCCCAGAGAGACTCACCTCACTTGCAGCACAGCAAAGCAGGCAGGCAGCAACCCAGGAAAACTTGGTGCAACAAGGGAACACAGTCAAGAGAGGTGCTGTCCATCACCACCCATACTCCTCAGCTCTTTGGTAGGGAGAGCTGTGAAACTAGCTGGTTTAGCCCCTGGCCGTTAGGAAGCCATTATACGATTGAACACATCCCAAAGCATCTCAATAAAGCAAGATGCGGGATGCAGATGCCAGAACTAAGATGCATGGGCATGGCTGGTGGAGGTCCCAGGACAGGAACGAGCCAAAAAGTGCACTGGATTGAGCTTAAGCTTTCTTTGGACAACTCTTTAGGAGCTCTACACTTACCTCATGCTACTACTGGCCTCTTGCCTTCACGAATACCCCATGCACCAGAGCCAAGTCTCTCCCTGCAGCACACAGGCCAGACAGCATTCAAATCCTGGCTACGCTCCTGCCACTACTTGACACCCACCTCATCCCTGGAAAGGGAAAGCACCTGAATTAAGAGCCCAAGCTGCACGGCCTTTTGAAGTTTTTATTTTTATACATTTTTTGTATTAAAAAGGAAAAAGCATAATTACCACAAATTACAAAGGACTAAAGCATTACTAGAATAATGAATCACATCAGCCTAGAAAGCAGATACTCTGAATAATATTAATGTTATAATACAAGCTCTCATTCAAGTATTTTACATTTTTTTTTCTCTTTTTCCTTTTTAACTGGGGTAATGATTCTAGCTCATGGGTCAAGATTATGTACTATCAACAGAAGATGGATCATGTACAGTGGGCCATATTAACAAGATTTTCCCTCCCCGGTGATACGTGGGCTGTGATGCGTCATTTTAAATTTGTCTCTACAATAAAATGCAACGGAAGAAGGTTGCTCACGCGTTTCTTTTTGTTTTCGGGAGCGGAGGGCTGAGTTTGGGATGTCCACGAAGCCCCTTGGAGAAGGGCAGGCAGGTCAAACTAATAACCCCTTTTGTCCTAACCGAGTCTGAGCACATGGACACAAAACAACAACCCACTGGATCTCATCTGAAAGGCAGGTTCTTCTCCGCTCAGCCTCGGGCAGCTCAGAGCAAGACCTAGCATGGGGGGAAAAAAATGGAAGAGACCCCCCCCCCCCACAAACCCTCCCCAAG